CCAGGCCTTGCTCGGGTATCCTTAGGCAATACAGTTTGCAATGCTTAAATGACAAGGGAATAGAAATCCCCCTCTGGGACAAGGCACAGGTAACAGCAAAACCATCACCAGCTTCATTGAGGTTAGAACCTGAGAACCTACGCACCTTTTCAAACATGGAAGAACCAAGCCCTGCAGCTTGACCATGTCCCCTGGGTGTGACAGAGGGGAGGGACTGAGAATCTCACTGCAGCCAACAGGGGGCCAGGTTTGATGGACTCACAGGCCCCGCCTCTTCTTTCAAGTTCATCTAAAAGCAGAAAAGGGATCAGCCACCTTTTTCAATCTTAAAAAAAGCAAACCCAATCATCTGAATGATTTCAACAAATTAATTTGTCTTGGATTTAAACTTATACTACCCAACTTTTATGACATGTTGCCAAAGGTAGGAACCTGCTTGTTTAGGGTTCCATCATTCCCATATTGATTGCAAGACTCTTTTCCAGGTATCAGAAGCATTTGTGACTCCAGCGTGGCACCAAGTAACACCAGGTTCATCGTGGTTAGCAGGGCAGCCTGGTGGACGATGCTGAAACACTCGGTCTCTACCAAGGCCCAGTAACAGGCCAAGAGCTCTCTCAAAGGAGACCAGTTATCTGTAGATGATAGCAGGGTCTTGCCCCAAAATTCTAAGGGCTTCCACTGGGATTCCTCTATAGAACCCAAGAGCTCTAAGCAGTATCTCTAGCAACCACTGAATGTTGTATCTGCTGCATCATTTAGCTCAAGTGCCAGAACAATGTGAAAGGCAGTCTGGACCTATTTGCTGCAGATCCTTCTCCTGCTCTGAGCCCCACCCAAAGAACATTTTCAGGTCACTCGATAGATGGGCTGGAGTGACATACCTGAATGAAAATGGTAATAACACTCCAAATCCAAATAGGCTCACCAAGCACGGCACCTCTTTCTTGGTTGTAGGAGGGGTCAGATGCAGTACCTTATCCTTAGTTCTTACCTCGTCTTGCCTACCAGAGCCCTAGAACTTTCGCTGAGGTAAAAGGCCCCTGAGTTTTTTTCAGATGTATTTCCCACCCTCTCACATGCCAGTGTCTTACCAGTACATCCTGGGCAGTCACTCCTGTGTGCCTGCTGGGTCAGTCAGCGTGGTGTGGCAGTGTAATGGACCAGAGGGATTTTGTGTGGAAGGAAAAAAAGTGATCAAAACTCCCTGTGAACTAAGTTGTGACACTGAGCTAGGGAGTTGATGTACCCTGGGGTAGGACAGTGAAGGTGTATTGCAAACTGCTCTGGTGAGTCCTATGGATGGAGATGAAGAAAAAGACATTGCCAGATCAGTAGCTGCCAGGAGATGCGGTGATTTTCTCCAGCAATGAAACCATATCTAGCTCAGCAGCTGCGATGAGTCACCACCTGGTTAAACGGAAGGCAATCACTATCCTCTCTGATGTATGTGTCTTTTGCACAGACCAGACACGAGAGCTGAACGGGAATGTGGTAGGAACCACCACTGGTGTACCTTTCAAATTCTTAGTGGTGGCGTCAATCTGTGCAATCCCTCCAGGAAGTGGTATTGCTTTCGATGTGCTGTTTTCCAAGTGGAGGCAGCTTTAGTGGTTTGCATTAGGACTTTCCTACCATAATAACTCTCACTCTGCAGGTCAGGGAACCAATGGAAGGATTCTGCCCACTAAGTATCAACATCCAAATTATGAATTTTGGAACTGGAGACATGAACACAGGATGGTTCAGAGAACTTCAGGACTCACTGTGAGTCAGACTTGAACTAAAAATCCATGGGTCACCTGACCTCTACTTCACCTTACTTCAGTCCCTGGTGAGCCACAGTGACATTTTGAGTCTTCTGGAATCACTGTCGATTCAGAGCCAGTGTCTGATAGTCCCTGAAAGAAATGATCATTTTCTTTTTCCAGATGCACAGTTACCCTGGGAAAAGCCTGGGTAGGTCCCTTTGGGAACGGATGAACTAAAGATAAATAATATAAATTTTCAGTAGTGTACCAGGGTTTTGCCTGGTGGTGACCCAGCATCTCCTTCATTCAAGGGGCTCTGATTTGCAGATTGGCTTAAGTCTGGGGATTGGTGGAGGAGCCACAGTTCTGTTTTGCAATTCAAGTGAGATTCTTGTTCACTTGACCTGGAAGTTGTTTGCTTGTATTGATCAAGTGAGAACTTAGTAGGTTTCCCCTCTAGGAGCACTGGGATGAAGTAGTCAGCACCCTAGATCTATCTGCACAAGCCAGATGTGGGTTGCTGCTCTGTCTCTGTTGGCCATTGCAGTAATCCCACTTACCTTGCCTTTGACAGTCTGGTGCCCTCCCCTTTGTTTCCTGCTTCACCAGGATCCAATTAGTCCCACTGCATAGCTGCAAGCTAAGGACAAGCGCTGGTGCAGCCTGGTGAGATATTTTTGTATATCCTTAAGGATGCCCATGGAACAAATAGCTGTCCAGATAAGATTAAGTGATTGGTCTATGCAGCCCTGAGCCAGCGTCACTGCCCCGGGTCTGACAACAGCAACTCTGCCACTAACACAAAGGGTTCAAAATTGGGCCTCCATTGTGTACTCTATAGACTGAAATAGCCTGCCAGCACAGTAGCACCTCTCAGAGTTGATATGTCCCTCTGATGGTGAGCAAGGATCCTTAGCACTAGGGCTAGCCCCTGCCTTTGTCTGGCAAATAGATCATGTTGGTCCATCCTCTGCTGCCATCTGGTGTCCACAGCTGGCATGGTTGGTATGTGGCCCTTACCCTTACCCACATCTGGGAACCTTGGCAAGCATGGTGCTCCAGCCAGACTGTGCCCCGTCCGCAGACAAGGGCAGGTGTTCACTTGACCCACCCACGGTGGTATTAGGCAGAGCATCACTTCCAGCTGCCCTGTTATGACCTGTCTCTTCCAGATTCTTAAGGACTTTGATTTGTCCCTGCAGTGGGAACTTACTAGAAAAAAGCTCACTTGTGCTCTTCTCTCTCTTGCCTCTTGGAACACGGCAGGCCTGAAGGCCTCAGCACTACTACGTGTGCCCATCGCCTGAAAACCTGTTTCCGCTGATTACTGCCTGGCTGGCTCCTTTCTGCCTGCAACCTTCGTAGCTGAAGTTCCTGACCATCCAATGTTGAGAAGCTCTTGTGTAACTCCATCACTTCATCCTCCCTTAATCCTCTGAAAAGCAAAGACTTCTGTCCTTTTTGATTTTCCATCTTTAAGTGGGGAATGCAGGATCAGATTTGCATCATGAGATGATACAATTGCATATTAAGAAAGGACAGGCACTGGCGCAAAGCTGTACAGAGGGAGGGCAGCAGGCAAGCGAGTGCAGTCCCTGGGGAAGTAGTGCAGGTGAGCTGCTATAACAAAAGGCCCCCTTCGCTCATAAACTGATCTTTCAGGTTTGTGCCAGGCAGTTCTTCAAATTTAACTCCTAAGATCTGACCAGTGTGGCCATTTGCAGTGGAACAAGTCCAGCATAAGCATCTTTGTTTGATACTTGATTCACTTGCCACCAACCTAACCCAACACTGAACTCACTGAATTGCAAAGGAGGCTGGGAAATGTAGTCCCCACCCAGGCACCCCCTTAAATCCAGCCAAACTCAGGGGGCTGGAAGCCTAAAGGGGAGAACGTCACACTAACCAAGAGATACTATGAACACAGCAAGAAGAGAGACGCTGTAGGAACAGAGAACAAGCCTTGGTGACCAAGGGTGGGAGGAAGGGAGAGAGACAGCAGATTAGGTCAACTCTGGCTCAAGGGCAGTGAGGGTGTAACAAGTCAAGGAAGAGCAGGAGTCAGAAATGGAGGAAAGGGTAATGGTTTAAAGCAGGGGTCAGAGGCCTGTGGCCTGTGGCCTGGCTTTGGAACACTTTTTTTAGAACTCAGCCAGGTCCACTCACTCATAGATTGTTGATGGGCCATGTCTGTGTATGACAGAGCTCCATGCAGACCACGTGGCCCAGGAAGCCCAACACAGTGACTGCCTGTCCCTTCACAGGGAAAGACTGTGGACCTGTGGGTTAAGGCATATCAGGTGGAGATGTGCCGTGGACTGTGGCTGCTCTACAGTGACCAGGGATGAGCATCATGAGGACCAGGAGAGGCAGGTGAACCGTGAGGGTGGATAAAATTGCCCAGAGAGACAGGGATGGGTGGACCAGGAGAAAATCTGGGAACACCAACTAAATTTAAGGACAGGAAAGAAGATGAGCATATGGAGAACAGAGTAAAGCCCAGGAAGACAGAGGGTTCCTTTGGGAGCCTCAAAAGATGTTGGTATCTTTACCAGTGGTCCACAAAGTCCTCTCCAAGGAATCGAGTGTGGGATAGAAGCCATTTCACAGTGGCTGAACCAACGGAGGTGAGCAGGTGATTAGAGATGCTTTGGGAATTCTTTCATGAAAATTATTTGCAAAGGGGAGAAGGAGAGAGAAAATGAGAGGGTGTTCTCTGGGGCTGAGGAAAAGATGGGATCTTTAGGACCAGATCCCACCACTAGTGCATTTGGCAGTAGAAGGTACTGAAAAGCACATGATGAAAGGTGCAAGACTTGAGCTGTGGCGTATTACAATCCGTTGTTTAAATAATTGAAACTTTTTAATGTGGGATATAAAAATTAGGTTTTAAGAAAACAAGGGATGATTTCCTCTAAAAGAACTCTCCACTATCTGGCCTCTTGTGCATAGTTTAACAAAAATCCCATTTGTGCACACAGATATTTAGGAGTGTATGTGTAGCTGTGAGTGATCTGAATGTGGATATTACTGCTTAGACGGTTATCTAAGAAATAGTCATTTTAGATCTGTAAAACCGAGGACCTGAAAGGCAGCTGACTTTGGGGAAGTGGGGTGCATTCTCTCTGTACTGGGGGCACTTGGGGGATGGGAAAGTAGTGGATTAAACAGACAACCCCAGGCCACGTTTCATTGCCTAGAATTTGACAGTGTCTGGGTCTACTCAAGGAAGGAACACACGGACCGCAATTTCCAAGCCCCCTTTTATTGAAATAAATCAGGACAGTGATCTTCACTCAAAAGACCTGGTACAAAGCCCACATCTTGAATGTCATGCATGACATCACTGCTACTTTGGTTTGACAGTATTTCATTGCCCATCACTTTTGAAAAAGGCAAAGACAATGTGAGTAACCCAAAACAAACAGATACTGACTCATGCTTTCATATATTTCTAAGGACCAAGCATGAAGGCTTTATTCATGTTGGACACCCCAAATCTAAGAACCATGACAGGGTCTTCCCCTGTTTCGCTTCAGAGTCCCCTCTCACAATAATCAGATGACATCCAGATGATTCTCATCCTGAATCAGAAGATTAAGTGTACACTGCACTTGGCATCTGTTCAAACATCTCCACCCTCTGCCAAACAGCATTCCTTCTCTCAAGATCTCTCTGTTTTGAACTTGTTACTGTAATAGAGTGGGGGTACTCTGGGACTGCTTTTGTATTCTGTTCCCAAACACCGTGACCATTCATTGACAAAGTGGATGCAAATCCTAGGTGAAGGACATGCTGTAGGTTTCACATACTTTTAGTGAAAATGGATTATTTTCAACAGCACCAATAAATCAACACTGACCCGATAGTAAGCTCATTTAGAAGAAAAACCTTACAATACTCATTTGTTTAAAAAAAACCCTAGCTGTGGCAAAGGTGTATATACAATCTACTATACACAAAATACACATTTTCTGTAAACTGTATGTGTCCAGCACACTCTACCTATGCGAGTAAATTAGAATCTCAGTATTAATATTGGATGGACTGTTTGACCCAGAAATGTGCCCAAACCCATATGGTATGGTATCTAAATAGAAATTCAGTATTAAAAAAATAATAAACAGGAGAGAAGATTATCCTTGAATAGTGATGGACACATGGACTAGGAACGTGACTGTGTTCATTCCTAACAAAGCTCTATCCAGAGATCAAGAAGTCCCCTTGAGTCACTGTGTTGCCACCAGAGCTCCTCCTGAATTTGGAAAGTTCTCGAAGACCCAGATTTACCAACAGTCTCATTCCTTCTACATTGTGTGTCTTGATGCTGAAACAAAGGTCAGACAAAATTTCAGAATCTGGCTTTGCCCTGGCCAAGAAACCATGAACACATCATCCTAAATGATTCCTACAAGACTCCAGGGACAACTGGTTCTAGAGGCCATTGTCCTGTCCAACCTTATTTGTCCTGACCCATCATCATTTTAGCTTCTGAATTATTTTTTTTTTAAAACCAAATGATCACAGAAATGTTTGTTGTAAAACAATATAAAATATTTTTATATTTAAAATATAAACATATCTAAAGAACAAGATACATGGTTAGTGCATAAATCCTTAGGAACTTATTTTTACTATAAGAAAAAATTCTTATTATGATAAATATACAACCATCATGTCTGTGTTTTTGTATGTATTTATACATACACAGGACCATATATGACACAGTCATGTAGAGTCATTATTAATAAACGTATACATATATATGCAAAATCAAACTGTCTAACCCATAATTGACCTAGATTTTCCACTTAAGATGATCTATGTTTTAATAATCTAAAAAAATAAAAAAAACTATAGTACTATAAATTATTTTACATGAAAGCATCAAACTTACCTCAAGCGATTTCAACCTCAGAAATAATATTGTAATGAGCTAAAAGACAAAAAAAAAATACATAAATATAACACTTGCAGGCCAGGCCCTGGGCGGCATCATCACCTGGCTGAGGAGATATAGAGAGAGACCGACAAGCAGAACTGAGGCTGGAACGGGTAAGAGTCACTGGGAACATGTGTCCAAAATACCAGACCAGCAGAAACCAGACCCCACAGCAGACGGACCACCCACCAGAAGCAGCAGAAGCCCAGCTGCAAGGACCAGAAGACAGGAGTTCTTCAGGGGCCCTGTTACCACGTGTGGCCAGGTGTGCACACCTGTGCGTCCAGATGGTGCACGTCCTTACCGGCTCTCTGGTTAACAGTCAACAGTCGTCCTACACTATCCTGTCTCCACAATCACAGCCTTGACAACCAGAACAGGGTGTGTGAGGGTGTGCGAGGGGAGACCACAAACTCCCTTCAGTTTGGATCCCACTCCCACCCCCTGTGACTTAGGGCATCACAGCTCTTTGGACCCTGCAGGATGTGCCAGGCACATCAGCACTCAGTGCTGCGGAGACCCCCAGGAAGAGGGGAAGAGCAGTGGGGCGTCAAAGCCCCTGAAGGGCAGGCATTCCTCCAAACTCATCATTTAACTTTGGAAGCCACATCCACTTACTCCTGTGTGTCTTTTCTTTTTTTTTTATGCATTCAATAAACACCCAGGCTCTATTGAAGGGCTCAGGGGTCCCTGTGGAAGGGTTCAGGCAGGAGCCTGCTCAGAGTCCTGCTTTGGCCCACAGCATCAGGCCCTGGGCTGAACACTATGAAGGCCAGTGGGCTTTGAGATCATCATCAGGGGTGCTGGGCACACAAACTGACCTACTGGGTCTTCTGCCTAGCCATGCCCTCTCTGAGGAACTCTAGACCAAACAGCTCACCCTACCTTGGAAAAGAGGGTGTTCAGGAGACTTCAGAACCAGGTAACAAGCAACATGAACCAATTCAAGCAACTGGAACTAATTCTGGAAGCTTCTGATGTGAAAGGGACAATAGGTCCTTGGATGGGACAGCTGGAGGCTATGAGAATTCAGGCTGTGAACTAAAACCTCTTGGGCACTCACCCTGATAAAATAATAACAGAAGCCAAGGAAGGACAGCAGGGCACGCGTCTCCCAGAGCAAGCACCACGCCGAGGTGGCACACGTCAAGTTAGTGTGGATTCACGCTCCAGATCGCAATCAACACAGGGCTCTGGCAGCCGGACCCACAGATAAGAGGCAGCCAGTAGACAGAATCCGCTTGACCCTGTGGCTCCAAGGCCTGGAGCATCACACAGCCAAAGGGCCCCATGCACTTTCCACTAGGCCAGCGCGGCCAAAGCATGTGCAGTGAGGGGGCGGCTGCTGCTCCCTCAGTGTCACCGGGGTCCCCTTCTGCCCTTTCCTGCTGCAGCACTGGGCTGCAGGAAGAGCACACTCACAGCTTCAGCAAGGAGAAGGCCACAGTCTACGGGAGTACCTCCTTGGACCTGTGCTGTGCTTTTCCTCAACATGTCTTTTTTAAACATTACAAAGGGAAACGTTCATCTGAAACCCAGATTTATCTCTTTTCCAGAGAAACTGAACTTTGAGGTACCATTTGCCTCTTTCTTATCCCTTTTTCTGACAACTTCTCTGAGTCTTTCCACTTCTGCCTAGGGAACCTAACTACTGCTCTGGCCTTTGGGAGAACAGGAGAAAGAAGAGCTCAGACCCTAGCTGGCCTCCGACTGGTGTGGAACCTGGGGCCTAGTGTTTATATCCCCAAGTCCTCCTGAAAATGGGGGGTAGCTGTGAAGGGCTCAGAGGACTGTGCAGGATAAAGCAGGGCAGATGGCCTGACCCAAAGCCCAGGGCTGCTAGGCCAACTCATGCCGCTACCCTGGAGACATTGTGGAACAGAGAGGAGCAATTTTTTTCTCCTAATCTCTCAGGCAGAGCTAGATAGAATAGGTTTGTCTCCACCAAAACAAAAAAAAAACACACACACACAGAAGTCTGGGAAATAAGCCCCTCAATGCCTCCCCCTGCGGGGGGCACTTGTGTGGGAGGTAGAAGCATCCCTGGAGGCAATGCCAGGCTTCTCCAGGCTCCTGGGGGACTTGTTGCCTCTTTCTTCAGACAGAAGCAAACAACCAGCCACGGAGCATGCAGTGAACTAGTAGGAGAGAAAGGGTGTGTGTGTGTGTGTGTGTGTGTGTGTGTGTGAAATAACCAAGATGACAGGGGAGGGAGTGACGGGAGGGTGAAGGCGTTGAGACTGACTTGGCCACTCAGAAGCTGCATGGTTCCCCTTCAGGAGACTTTTCCTGGGAGGCTCTTCAGGAACCAATGGTCGAGCTGCTCCTGACTTTGTATTAGCCTGACCTGCAGAAGGACTTTCCTAGAGGGCTGGGATCCTTATCCATGCACTATCCTCTTTGCTCCCAAACCTGGCTTTGTCATGATGTAGCAGCATTTGAAGTCTTTTGGTGTGAGCACTCATGGAACTCACAGCAACGGGAAGGTACAAGGGGCTCAGGTTAGACTGAATGGAAGACCCAATGGGGTCTCCCATGGCATCTGAAGCCCCCTCCCCACCTGTGTAAGCCCATAAGCTAAGTGGCCCTGGCTTGATAACAGGATGGACATTTATCTTCTGAACACCTCTGGGTTCCATCAGAAATATCAGTATAACACAAAGATGAGACTGTCATTACCGTCATAAACCAGAAACCCTCAAGCAAGGGCTTCCACTGTCAAAGGCTGAATATTTTAAAGCTTGTAACCTCACAACCCTAAGTGAGCAGGGACCTTATTGTCTCCTTTTACACATAAGGACACTGAGGCTCCAGGAAATGCCATAGAACTTCCATAATGACACAAGACTGTGCAACATGATTTGCCCCAACTTGGACCCCAGAGCCATCAAGAAGGGTCTTGGTGGGGCAGAAATGAATCCCTATATTCCAAGAGCTTCTGAGATGTTGCTTCCTCGCCTTCTAGAAATAAATCAACCTCACTAATCTGAAACTCTCTGTTCCTTTCTTTACTGCCCCCAGAAGAGCAGACTGGCCAGGACACCTACCAGGACTCCTCCTGCAGGGTGGGCTGTTCTGGATGGAAAACCAGCCCTGCTTCAACAGCTACCACAGAAGGTGCCCCAGGGAAACCTGAGGGGGCGCAGTTAGTCTGTGCTTTTTCTTTCCTTGAAACAAAGCCCGTCAACCTGCTGTGGGGCTGCACACAGAATATAGAATACAGAAACCTCAGAAGAGCCTGGGACTTCCAAGACAACACACTCTGCTTCTGCCCTTCACAGGAGTGTGAGGACCTAGGTCCTTCCCAAAGGCAACTCCTTCAAATGTGCATTACACCCAGAATCACTACAGAAGCGTCCTCAGTGGTCTTTAGTACAACTGGGGGGGAGTCACTGATTGTGAATTTCTGCATTAACAACCCAGGATGAAACGCCCACCAGCAAGTGGGAAGAGACACTCATTTCTGAACATCTCCTAGGGCTTTTTCCTGTTTCCTATCATTATCATTTTCCATTTTTGTACAGTAAAAGAAATCCAAGAGTTAGCAAGTCTTCTCATGTGCAGGGACATGGGAAAAACTGGTAAAGCAAGGACACTCATACACACCTCTCAAGCCCTCAGTGTTGAGTACTCACGTGGGGTGCAGCAGCGCATCAAATGGGGCCTCGGGTGTTGTCTTATCTATGCCAGAGGCAGGTTTTGCTCTGCCTATGTAGCAAAGGGCTCAGACAAGGCCATGCATGACAGGATGGGTGATGACAGGCACCTGCCTATTTTCAGCTCTGAGACCAGGAGTTAGTGAATGTCTATGGCTTTGACAATCACTTCTAAATGGCAAAGGGTCCATGGCAATGTTAGTGTCCTGAGAGGTTTCTAGGACCTCAAAGTCTATGTTATCAACTTGCAAAATGACCCTCTTTTTTTTCCTTTCTTTGTATTTAATTTTGAGACAGGGTCTCACTATTTGCTTGGGGCCTTGCTGAGGTGCTGAGACTGGCTGAACTTGTGATCCTCCTACCTCAGCCTCCCAAGTCACTAGGACTTCAGGCATGCACCAACAAGCACAACCTGACCTTCCCTTTCAATTGCAAAGGAATCCTGGATTCCTACTCCCAAGATTCCTACTCCTCAGGAAGCCATAATGCTGTACCTTCCACATTCCCAAAGGACTTGCCATCAGCAGTGGGGAGCATGGTCAGCAGAGGGCCTCCTGCTGCCTGAGTTCTCAGGGCCTGCTCTGCTGCCAATTGCACTGCCCAAGGGCTTTGTCTTTCCTGAGCAGCCCAGATCCAAGTGGCTACAGAGGTGGGGGCACAAAGTCTCCATTTAGCCCAATGAAGGCAACTCTTGGCAGGGCATATTTGCTCCAGAGGACTGAGTCTTCAGAAGGTCCACCTGGACTTCTCTTCAAACACCTTTCATCCCAAACTCCACCTCAGCATTGCCACCAGGAGACCTGACCCTCAGTACACTTCCTGCCCGGGCTTGCCTGTCTTGCTAGAATCCTCTAATAAGCCAACTCAATGACACTTCCTGGTATTAAGAGGACACCTGTAGACCTCACAAACAGAAGGCAAGACCAGAAACCAATTCTACAAATTCAGAAAGTCCTAGAAGAACTGATGTTGGGGCAATGGAGATAGTTGAGAACTCTCCTTTGATCTTGAAATTTCAGTCCATAAGTATAAGATGCCCTCCTAGCATGCTACCCTATGAAACAGGAGATGTGTATGAGGCAGGCCACAGCCCTGTCTACTCTGTCTGGAGGAGACTGAGCTAAGTGACCCTTGGATCAATCTTCACATCTCTCACAACCTAGCACTCTAGCAACCAAATCCAACACACATCACCTTATCCTAGAGGCAGCAAATGAGATGAAGTTAATTTGACATTTTGAAACCGTTTTGTTCTATTATTATTATTATTATTACTTTTGCTTTGGTTTGAAAGTTATGTCCCCCTAATATTTGTAAGTTGAGATCCTAGACACCAGG